TTTGGGACGTGGGGACGTCGTCTCTAGGAAGCTCATGTCCACTCATTAATGGCAGAGCTTATTAGATTATTTCTTCTGTCTGGCCCATTTGCTCTCGGCATTTGTTGTGATTAAGTCCCATTCCAAATCATTGGTTTTTGCACATGTCGTCGACCTTGGGAAGATCTAAACTCTGGGTTAATTTTTAATTACCATATGAGATTCAAGTGAGATGAACATGCGAAGCTTGACTTAAGGTTAAAGGATAATGATACGCTGTGTGTTGCTTCCAGTTCACCAAAGGCGAGACCCGATTGAAAAGCTCATTGCCCGAAGTCGCTAGAAAAGCAAAAAGTGGAAGGTTATGGTGGGATCTCTTTCAGTGAGCAGTTCTTTATTCGTCTTTTTGTTCGAAAGGGCGTCGGCTAATCATTTGGTTTATGCTAATCAAAAACAGAGAGTGTGCAATGCAAGATCTGATCCATCAATTTTCAATCATAACCAATTTCGAAACGAGACAGATGTTAATGGTTAGACTCAGAGAGTAGTTTGTTGACTCAAAATTGCTGCGATCCAGGGTGAATTTTCAAGCTCACTCGGCTGTGCTGCCTTTTTCCTGTCCTATCCACCCTGTGAACTTCCTTTGTTTTTTATATAATCATCGACATTTTTTCGAAAGCTGCTAATTTCAAACACCCTTTTACCTCTCTTATCCCGCTGCTAAATTCAATTTTGTTTTCATTATTACTTTTAACGGATTCTCTTTCTCAAAAATCTCATAAAATTAATTATAAATCACAATATTATTACAAAATATATATTATAACAAGATTCATCGTAATAAATTATTATAATAGAACAGTTTAAGATCATAAAAATTAGATATTTATTAGATTATGTTACTAAAAAATCATTTGAGGATAAAAATGGATTAGAAAACTTTAATCTATCCTTAATGTTAGGATTACGTATCTATAATGTCTCTTAATGCTAACACCGATCCTATTATGTGATAGCACCTTTAATCAAGATTCAATTGGAAGATGAAAATCCTAGAGAAATGCGAGGAATGTTCCCAAGCTCCAGCATGTTCCTGACTATCCACATTTCCAATTGGCGCACTTCTTTTTCAACTATTCATTTTCATTATAATTTATTTTTTCAAAATTTAATATTTTACATTATCAAATTTAAATTTTCATCTTAAATCTTATATAAAAATGTTTTAAATGGGGAAGGACACTGATTCGTGTCATCGGCTGAAGCAGGAAGGCTAAAATATTTAGATAAGCCCATATCGTGTCGCACGGGCGAGATTAACGTAGACATATCTTATGCTCTACGGAGTGAATTTTTATTTTTATTTTTATTTTTATTTTTATCTTTTTCATCCCTTCGACCACCGACTGAATAATTAAAATTTAATCCGAAAACAGTTCACTTCCTCCACGTGACTTTTTACCTTGACCAGGGATTATAAATCAATATAAAAGTTTATAATCATATTAATCTTTCATGTGCATCTAATGATCATGTTTAATTCGATTAGCTGGCGTTTCAATATTTCCAAACTAATCAGTTTATTATTCCTCGATTATATAAGACTACTGAGCTAACTCCTATAGGTCCACACATACTTGTTTTTCCTACAACATTGTTTAATGTTACTCTTTCTGTGCTAAATAATTTTTTTTTATTTTCACAGAAATTAAGATAAAAAAAAACTTTGATTTCAATGTATTTTTTAGTAAAATTTGAAAAATTTTCTTGTAATATGGATTTTCAATATTTTTTATATGAAAAAGTAAAAAAATGAAAAAAATTATAATATAAAAAACAAAAGTATTAAGTGTGTTTATAGATATTCATTTCGTGACATCTCATAAAAACTTTAAATTTAATATATTTTATATTAAAATTTAATTTTTAATAAATATTTTTAATGTATAAAAAATATTAAAAAATAAATTTATGATATAAAATAAATAAAAATACTAAGGATAGCCCGAAACTGTATATAAAGTACAACTTTCTGTAAAAATCTAATAGATTCTAATCTTTTTTTGCACTGATTCTGTTCGTAGCAGCTTTGCCAAAATGAAAATTTGTTCCACACTACTTGCATAGAACTATTAATAGGCTTCAGTCAATGAACTCTTCTGATATTTGCCATCCCTAACGAAGCTATAGCCTGAATTAACAAATATCCAAGAAAGCAATCCATGTTCAACGCTTTGAGTTTTGACTCAGCCTTGAATTGGTAAGAAACTCGTTGAGTTTCTCTTCTTGCCCTGTTTTTTCATTTTAACTAATGCTCGTGAGTAGTTCCACAAGTACGAGGATTTGTTAAGTAATGCTTAAGCAGAAGAAACCAACAAGAGATTAGATTGGATTATCCAAGCAAAAATGGCAGTAAAAATGAAAAGTGGAAAAGTAATGTGAGACCTTTAAGAGGGGCCCCCTTCCCTCTCCCTGCCTGTTAAACCTCTTCACATGCAATCCCTGTTTCAGAACAAAACAAACCACCCACCACCAGTCCATCACCTCTCATGTTGTGCAACAAAGCAAACGTTTATATAGTAAAAAAAACCCCTGTATTATGCCTATTTCTTCAATTGAATTCTTTATCTTTTGTTGTACTCTAATGAATTCCCTAAGTTTTTAATCTATATTCAAATTAACTATTGATAATCAATTAATTTTTTATATCTACGTAATATATGATTTAATAAGTTGTCAAATGAATCGTGCCTATGACATGCTATGTCGATAAAAATTATTAATTAGTATTGGGTTTGACAATAATTAATTTTTATTACGAGTAAGCGTTTATTTGGATATAGATAAAAAATTAAAATTTTATTTAAATATGATAGCAGTTTAGGGGTTCGATTGAAAATTTTCATAATTTAAAGACTTTTTTTGCTATTAAGCCGAAAAACAAAACCGAGCCCATGTGGGAGACAAACACAAATAGTCAGCTAATGTGAGGACCCCACCACCGACACTTCAAATCCCCTTTCTTTTTCTTTCTTTTCCTTTTTCTCAAATTTTAATTTTCCCTCCTCCTAAGTCCTACCGTGTTTTGCCCTTTACGGCTTACGTACACTCACACCCGTCAGCCTCCTCTATACCGCACTTAAATATTGCGCCATCCGTCATCAGTTCCTGCTCCTCCCAACCTCTTCATTTCAAAGTCACTTTCTCTCTCTGTCTTCCTTTCACATTCACTGCGCCAACAAACTGAGACCCAAAAAAGGAGTCTCTCGTTTTGTCTCTTTTTTTTTTTCTACTCCCAGAATGGCGCTTAACCTGGCGGTGGCTCTGTTTTGTGCCGCAGCTTCTCTTTTCGCCATTGCCGGTGCTGACGATCCCTACAGGTTCTTCAACTGGAATGTTACTTACGGTGACATCTACCCTCTCGGCGTCCGTCAAACGGTGAGCC